GCGAGCAGTAAGTATCCCAATTGAAATAGTCTTGTTCATTAACATCCTCTTTTTCGATTAAACCAAAAAACACAGTCTACAAATGTTTTTGTTTTACATTTTGTTTTTGTGAACAGGAGAACGCAGGACGAAAGCATTGAACGACATTCGGCAAACCGACGCAGGTAATTAATCTATTATTCTTGCTAGAATTACTGGGCTTTGTATGTAGAACTTGTTCAGACGAAAATTCACATAACATTTTGTGAAACACAATAGACTGTTTGGCTAATTCAACTATTTGTGTTGTATGTAAATAGACTATTCTGTAAATAGATCATTACGAATCATTGACTGAGAAAATCGTGGGCTTGAAGTCTATTTATAGGGAAATTAATATAATTTTAAATAGATGAATTTGTTCAGTAGTTGTTTTGTAATTAGCTAAAATAGAAATAGTTGAATCTTACATATATGGTTTTGTTGCTATATAGTTAGAATAAATGACTTCGAAAAAAGACATTGTAGTTCGTATTTGAGTATACTGCAAACAAACTATTTTGTAAGCAATTCCTTGTAAACTATGTAATTTTAGAATATATGGCTGTATCGTAGATGTTTGTTTAAATAGTTCATTGAGAATTGTTATTAATCGTTATTCTTGCTGGAATTAGTAGGCAGTTGTATGTAGTACTTGTTCAGTCAAAAAAAAATGCATGACACACTATGAATCAAAATAGTCAATTTGCATGTGTGTCTTGAATGTTCTTGAAGTATTAATAGACTATTTGTGTTAACTGTTAATAGAACCTTTTTGAATTTGTTAAGTAGTTGTTTTGTAATTTTCTGAAATAGAAATAGTTGAATCTTACATATATGGTTTTGTTGGTGTATAGTTACAATAGATGACTTTGAAAAAAACAGTGTAATTTGTGTTTGAGTATACTACAAACAGACTTTTTTGTAAGCAATTCCTAGTAAACTATGTAATTTTAGAATATATGGTTGTATCATAGATGTTTTTTTAAATAGTTCATTAAGAATTATTAATAATCTGTTATTCTTACTGGAATTAATGGGCATTTGTATGTAGTACGTGTTCAGTCAAAAAAATCGCATGCCACACTGTGAATTCAAATAGTCTATTTGGTTGTTTGTCTTGGATGTTCTGGAATTGTTATTAGACTATTTGTGTTAACTGTTAATAGGCTATTATGCAAACAGTTCATTAGTATGTACATAGACTATTCTGTAAATAGACTATTCTGTAAATAGACTATTCTGTAAATATACTATTCTGACTAGATTTTTTTTGGGACAAATATAATCAGACATGAGAATGGGTAGCGACTATTTGGGCAACGATTCCTAGGGAAAAAGAAGAAGCCGGCACCATTAAACGGGATAGTTGTTTTCAGAGGGAAAAAAGAAGAAGCCGACACCATTAAATAGGATAGTTGTTTTCAGAAGGCAAAAGAAGAAGCCGACACTGACGGACCGACGATACAAGTACTCGTTTTGTTATTTTTCCAAGTTGCGGACAAAAATTGTGAAGATTTTCTTAGGTTGGGGAAATCATAAGCACATCAAGAAGATTAGTTCGAACGATAACGCCGCTTGATTGTTTTGGCTTTGTGTTGTTAAAAAATTTCTTAGCATTTGTTTTGTTTTGATGTTTCTATGTTGACATATGGAGTATTTTTTGATTGAGTTGTTTTTCATGAAGATGATTTTGGAATTAGACCTTTTGCACAACGATACATTCTTTTTCCGTAACAATTTTTTTTTTCGACAATATGAATATCTATTTTGATGATAGCAGGTTTTGGGTAATAGTTGTTTTCGGGTAATAGTTGTTGTTTAGAAATAGTTGTGTTTTAGGATAATAGTTAGTTTGCAAGAAGCTGCATTTGGATAAAATTTGTTTGTTGATATTATCAAAAAGATTATTTCCACAATTTTAGCAAAACGAATATGAATCCAACTATATCCAAATTATTTTTTATCAAAAGACCATTCTGGAAAAATAACTAGTAAACGGCTATGTTTCAAAACATCTGCACCTCTAAAAATCAAATCAACATAAACTATGTATACTAACAAAATTATAATGACATGATTACATAACAACTTTTCAATATATATTACAAGAACAATGTTAAGAAAAAAACATTTGTATACAAAATATTATTCATATAATATTCTACATCAACACCCTAAATTTCAAGATCGGCTAGCATATATGTCATAGTTGTGTTGGATGCATTTAGACATGGCCATTTCGAAAAAACAAACTCAGCCAGTGCTTGAAAACTTAAGCCAACAGATCATTTCAAAGCAGCTCACTCTGTACTTCAAGAACATGTTCAAACTCCTATCCATCTACAACTAAAAAAAGAGTCAAAAGATGAATAATTAATAAAAAACGACTACGAACAGAAGATTAGTTAGTTTGTGTAAACTATTAAATATCGCCAAATCGACTATAAATGTATGGCAAATCGACTATCACTATTAATTAAATTGCTATCTCATTGTTTATTACAACTTATTGGTTAGTGGTAAATGCAAAGAATTAATTAACAATAATTCCTCTATGTAATATCATAACTATCACTTTATAAAAATAAAACATCGTCATAGCTAAGCAATTAGAAGTAGATACCACCATACCTGATCACGATCAGCAGGGTAAGTACAGAATATACTTCTCATTATTCACATTTGCAATCTTAAGTACTTTCTCCCCTTCGACTTTTCGTATTGCCACTATCGTATCTTGCCTGATTGCCATAGGCAACACTGAGTAACTAACCATCATAATTTATGTGTTCTCCAATCAAATTCACCCTCTCTACAGAAAATTAAAAATTAATTAATTAATTAATTAGAATAAGTAAAAAATAAAAAGCTTCAGTTCACTAGCATTCAGTAGGATCATGATTCCCAAATCAATACCTTAATTCTCTACACACAGTAAGCAATAAAAAGTCACCAGAAAAAATATATATGAATGCATAAAAGACAATTTAAAAACACGATATGAACGTAGCTACAATGAAAATCGACTATAATGACTCTGCAATAAAAATTGGCTATAACGACTCTGCAAAATCAACACAAATTGACTTAAAAAATAATACAAGGGGGGTTGTCACTAATTATTTTAAACACTGAGTAACCTTCATAATTTCTGTAAATTACGAATATGTTACTGCAAAAACAATAGTCATGTTACCTGCATAACACGATTATAAAATCTCAACATAATCAGCACAAAAAAAAAAAACTCCTGCATTCATACGTAACAACATAAATAGTCCGTATGCTATCGTTCGCACAAACAACGAAACAGCAGTTCGCATATATGAAATCAATTACAATCCACTTTCTGCAATTAGATCAGAATCACCATAGATATGAATCCAAATTTGATGTATCGAATCAGCACTCAAAACAACTGCATTGCAAACAAAAAACAAAAAAAACTCGCCTTCTTCGCCGACTCTCTGAACGAAACGAGATATGAATCTCAACGCGCGCCTTTGGAACAGTTCAAAAATTAACACGATGTTTGAGAGAGATGAGACGGTTATGGAATATGCCGATATATCGTGATCTCAAAGATTTTCTTCAAATCACGTGTTTAAAATAAATTAATTACACAAGGGTGAAAATGTAAATGTCAATTATATAATTAATCATAAAAAATCGAATTTAATACAAGGGGGGTTTTCACTAATTATGAAAATGGGGTTATATCCACCCTAATTTATGTAAATGATGTTGGGGTTCTCATTAATTATCCCTTTTTTTTTTAAGAAATATTTAATTGCTTAATTAATTAGTTATGGCTATTTTCAAATTAATTATGTAATTAAAGTTTGTTAATTATATGCACTGGCATGTGCCATACCTATTATAGGGGTCATAATGACTGATCATAATTCTGATTCAGGTCAACGCTGCTTTCTTCATGGTAGAACGTTTCACCTCCAAATCTTATAAAATTATTAATACTTAATTCCTAAAGTAATATCATCTTATGAAAAAAATATATCTCTTAGTTGCAAAATTAGATCATACTATACGGCCAATTAAAAAAAACATTTTAATTTACCCCTAACAAATAAAAAATCTTACAATTACTCACCATATAGCTATTTTTATATTGGAGTAAAATTGGAATTTATTGAGGATATTTTCAGAATCTAAAAAAATATATTTTTTTTGAAAAAATGTTAGGCAATGCATACCTCAAGGGGATATATGTATTTATACAAATAAGATAGTTTTTTTTGTAATTTACCCTATATTTTAGTAAGAAATAACTTATAATTTTATTTCTTAATGGTTAGTTATTAGTGCCAGTTTTGATCATATATATATATATATATATATATATATATATATATATATATATATATATATATATATATATATATATATATATAAGATATATACTAGTAGCAAAATAGTTTTTACTATGATGTTTTTTGCTACAGTAAAAAATCATAACAAAAGGCATCTTTTACTACGTGACAATCTTGGAGTCGTAGTAAATGCTTGGATCTACTGTAGTAAAAAATATTTTCTACGATCATTTACTGTAGCAAAGTTTTTGTCACGTCCGTATATGTTACGGGACAAATTTGTAGCAAAAGCCCTTTTGTTATGAATTTGGTACCTTTTTTACGGCTAATATAATGGTCGTAGTAAAAAACCATTTTTCTACTAGATATGAGTATATATATGTATAGAAGTTTTGATCTATATTTAAACAACCATGCATATTACAAATTAATCCTCTGATAAAAAAATGAAAGATTAATCAATATGTACACAAGATATATACCAGTTAACAGCTGTTATAAGCTGGTATATATTAATGGAAAATGACACATAAATTACCTAACAAAAATTTAATTACAACTACTTATTGATTACTATTTTACACTATACACCCAATGAACAAAATGTAATTAATTACAAATTTTATCAATTCTTCAGTAGCTAGCTAGCTAGCTAGTCCATATAGAATCCAAATCTGAAATTTCGGGACTGAAAGAGAAATCACACGACCGATCGAGTTGTTGATCATCAAACTCCGCCTTATACCTCCTTTCATTAATATCATCACACGACCGATCGAGTTGATGACTCGTGACACAGTTGTGAGATGAATTATCAAAAGGCTCCATTTTGCACATATTTAGATTCTGTTCATAATAATCTTGATTGTACTGATGATCATAAACAAGAGACGACGAGGATTGATGAGGAATAAACACTGAATTGGGATGAGAAATTTGAGGATTAATAATGAAATTAGTGGGATTATTATTAGGGTTTATGTTGTAGTAATTAGGAGGAGTGGGCATCGAAAGGAATTCTTCATGCTCTTCATCGTGCGTGAGAAAACTCGAACTAGGTGATAATGGTGTAGGGCTTTCCAAGAGATGATCGACAAAAGAGTCGATTCTTGCAAGTCGTTTTGCGCATGGAGTACTACTAGTGGTTCTTGTTCCGGTTTTCTTCTGGAATACCCTACCAACAACCCATTCTTCCTGCCAAGGAAAAAAAATTATATTATTTCTCTTCTTAAACACTTGTAAACACTTTCGAGTGAGGCTGACTTAGCTTATATATTAAAAAACTCAATTGATACAGGATTCGTTCGGACATTATCATTGTACCTCTGGTGTCGAAGAGAAGTTGGTGTAATGAAAAGAGTTACCCTCCAATCTGAATTCATGCATGACCCAATTAGTGTTCTCTCCTTTAGGAGCTCTCCCTTTGTAGAAAACGAGAGTCTTTCTCATCCCGATTAGGCAGTTTTTTTTACTCTTCGTATGTATCTCTTTATCTTTTCCAGTGGCTTTCCAGTAACCCAATTCTGTTGCTCTATTGGTTCTCTTTCCTCTTGGGTATTTTTTATCTCTCCGCCAAAACACGAACCATTCTTTCTCTCCCGTCTTCGCCTTCTCTGAACAATCATAGAAAAAATAAATAAACAAGTAAATTCAAATGATCATCAGTTCATAATTAATTTGATAACTAATTAATAAGTACTTTCTATTTAATATTTGGCTATATTTATTACATCAACTTGGGATTTTGAGTTATTGAATAAATCATGAGAGAATATATTTTATAAAATATATATAGCACTTATGTCAACTTGTATAATGTATTAAGTAATAATCGTCAACCTTATATTTTCAGCAATGATTAATGAAATAACAAACAATTAAATCAAAATTTGGGTTAGCTTGTTCATCAACCACCTAACCTAAATCAAGAACTTTGACTACTGGAACATCTATTGGATTCAAAGTCTCCTGCTCTATATACGGAAAGTCTTCGATTCCTGCTGGTTGGTTCGTATCCATTTATAACCTAAATTACAAAATATGATCCATGTAATTAAATTTCTTAATATATATTATTTTGTTTTATCAGATTTCATAAATCTCAAAAGTCTAATGGAAACGGGTTTCTAGAGATGGAAAAGCGTATGTAACTAGTCGGAAAAAAAGCTTTTTATTACAAATATTTTTTGCTACAGTAAAAAACCGTTACAAAAGGTACATTTTACTACGCGGCAATTAAGGAGTTGTAGTAAATGCTTGGATTAATAGTATCAAAAAAATATTTGATACAACCGTTTACTGTTGCATAGTTTTTGTCACATCCGTATCTACTATGCGAAAAATTCTTAGCAAATGCCTGCTTACCTACGAATTTGGTAATTTTTGTAACGGTTAATAGTCGTAGTAGAAAAAAAAACAATTTTTCTACTAGCGATTGTAAGTTTGTAACCAGAAGGTGATCTACTTTCTTAACCTTTGCAAAGTCAAAAGACTAGGAATTACAACAAATGTCCTCAAATTCTAATAGATCCCTCTCTCTTACACTCTCACACACACATAAGTACTATGTATATTTCCATGAATAAAAAATTAATTAAAGAACATATGCATACATATATAGAGAGAGAGAGAGATGGGACGATGGAATAATTACTTGGTAAATCCCAAGGTTCGCACTTGTTGAGATCAACCTCCGCGATGGCTAAGGCTGAAAAACGGGGGTCGATCGACTTTTTGAGAAGATAGTGTACGATAATCTCTTCGTCGGTTGGATGGAATCTGAAACCCGGAGGCATACCTAAGATAACTGATGCCAACTCTTCTTCTTCTTCATTATTAGCAACAAATGGTGAACCTGCTGCACTTCCTGCTTCCATTTTTAGCAACAAAAAAACTTAATTTTGTGTAAGAAAAAGACAACAAAACAGTTACTGACAAAGCCGGGAATAAAATTAAGGATTATATATAGAAAGAAAGTACGATAGTATACGCAGGGAAATTGGGATGAAGTTTCTTGGGGTGGAAGGAAGAATACAAGGAAAGAGTGGTGGGAATGTGTAGTTGTTAAATTAATTAATATTTTTGTTCTATATATTAATTTCATTGTTTGATATATCTGTTGGCCTTTTCAAACGGAATTGTGTGTTGACGTAGAGTGTGATGTCATCTTGGTGATGCTCAGCTTTAATTTGTGTATGCCGTTCTTAGTGTGTGACTGTGTGTCTACAGAGTGTAGACACGTAAATCCAACGTGGTGGTACTACATTTTCCACCCTAAATTCTGCTGTAATAAGCAAAGTTTAAAAGATTTATTCTTGAGATGAGATCTATGTAATTAATAATATATATATATATATCTATATATATATAAATAATATTCTAGAATTGAATGTTTCAACTATAGCTTGATATGAAGATTTGAATAGTTGGGTTATGCGCTAATGATAGGGATAATTACACTTTTGGTCCCTCGTGTTTGGCTAGATTTTACTTTTGGTCCTTGTTGTTCCTAGTAAACAAAGTTCACCTCCAAACTTCAAGGTTCAATTTTAAATACTTCTGGTCCTCGCCGTTACATATCCGTTAGCAAATAACGGAAACCGCTATTTTGGAGTGGAAAATAATTAGAAATTTAAAATATACTACTAATTAAGTATACATGAAATTTGTTTAGTTAATTTATTTTTTTATTATGAAAATTTTACTTATAAGTCTTATAATTAAAAATAATATTAAGTATAATTAAAAAAAAATTGTTTAATTAATTTTTTATTATTAAAAACTTAATTGTACATAGTATAATTATAATATTATTAAGTATTATTAAAAATAATTTGTTTAGTTAATTTATCTTTTTTTATATTAATATTTTATTATTATAAGCAGTATAACTAAAAATAATATTAAGTATAATTAAATATTTTTTTAGTTAAGTTTTTTATTATTAAAAAAAATATTATAAGTAGTATATTTTAAATTTCTATTATTTTCCAGCTCTAAAAGAATTTGAAAATTCAATTTTGGCCCCAAAATTGCGTTTTCCGTTACTTTCTAACGGGCATGTTATAACTACGGGAACCGAAAGTGTTCAAAATTGAACCTTGGAGGTGAACTTTGTTCAATTTAAAACAACTGGAACCAAAAGTAAAATGGGGCCAAACACGAGGGACCAAAAGTGTAATTCTCCTTGATATATTTATTGGCCGATCTAATAGACCCATCAATTATTCTTTATATTAAGTCATCATAGAGGTGAGGGAACAATCCATCTATAAATAATTATGGTATTGGCTATTTAGGCCTCGTTTTTGTGCTATTATTAGGTTAGAAAGATTAAATAGTCACTACAAAAAAAAAATGTTTTATGTGACGATTTATTGTGACGAAACTCAAATTCGTCACAATAGAGTAGAGATCTTATGACGAAATATAAATTCGTCTCATAAATAAATAATTTATGAGACAAAAATGAAAATCATCACACAAACCCATTTTATGTGACAACAGGAAAAATCGTCACAATAGAATGCAGGAGATATTTGTTTCTTAACTGGCGGTCTCAATTATGTGACAACAAACATTTTCTTATGACAAAAGCAATTTAGTCACATTATTTATTTGTTGTGACAAAATGTACTTCGTCATACATAAATTAATCTAATTATTTATTTATAAAAATTAAAATTAATTCCCAGATTTTTTACGTTGTTACAAAATGTACTTCACAATAATCCCCCTTTTTTCATTCTCTCACTTTTCCCCTTTCCTTTTAGATTATTTCTCTCGATTTTCTTCCCCTTTCCTTCTAGATTATGCGTCCACCACCATCACCACCACCACCGCCGTAGATTTCCCTTCTAGATTTCACTTTTTTCAATCGCCATGGTCTTCAGTGTCTCAGATCCACGATTAATCAAATTTCCGACCTCCCTGGCGATTTAGGTACGCGACTGGATAATTTTGCGGAATTTGGACTGGATTTCTCGTTTCAATTGCAGCTGTTCGGCTTCGAGTTCGGATTTTTCATTTTCTCGTTCGTGAAGAACTTTTGTCTTTTTAGGTATGAGTGCCTCCTTTTTCTACGAATTGCGGTTCTAATGGTTGGATTTTCTGGAATATGTGGAGTATTTTATCGACCTAGTTATTATTTTTTTGCTAAATAATTTCGAAAAAATTTAGGGTTTTTGTGATATATTTCAGATACAAAAGGAATTATTTTGCCTATTTAATGTTTAATGTTCGTATAAATGGGAGAATCGACTCTCGGGAATTACTCTGATATTTGTCTCGTGATAGGAAAAAAAATATTATGCTTCTATCTGGTATTGGTGACTTGAATTTAGTGATTTTTGTTTGATATAAACCATGATTATTGGGTAAATTTTGTGTATACGCATCTTCAGTTGCCGTAATTCAGTAAGAAAGAATCGTTTGTTGTGTATATTTTGGTTGACTTTGCACTTCATGTAGTAGATTAATTGTCAATTTCAAATCTAAAATTATTGACAGTATTTGGTGAGCATATATATATATATATATATATGCTGACCAGCCCCTGAAACTACTATCTCTCCAAGAAACACGCGCACACAGACACACATACACTGGGATTGTGTGTGTGTGTGGATGTGTGTGTGTGGTGGAGCTGAGTAAATGTATTTGGCATATTTTTTTCTTGTAATGCAGAGTACTGGGTCTAGGGCAGTAAACAAACCTAGGTACTCTTAGGGCAGATTACTCACCGCTTCCAAATTGTATTTTTTACTAATGACAACTTTCGTTTGCAGATTAAAAGGTTGAGGGAGATACAATGCCAACTTGATATCCGACTTAATTTTGCCGTAGAGGCCTCACTCAAGGTAATACAATTTCAACCATTCTTATACAATCTTCGTAGATAGTACATGAAATTTCAGCAATTTCAACCATATTTGAAATCTAAAATTGTGTGTTTCATATTTTTAGAATTTAGTTTTACGTCTGTCTGCAGAGCCACCTTCTTCTAAACAACTTGAAAACAGTTGGTTAACAATTTTATCAGATCTTACTTCTGTTATTTTTTTTGGCACATAATCGTGTGTTTGCATGAACTAATCATAATTTAAGTCGAAATATGGAGGTTTCAGATTTGTTTTCAGAGAAATGCACTAACGAAGCCCCTCGAAAAAGTAACAGAAGAGAGAAAGACGGGACAAATGATCCATTGTGCTTTCCCAGCTGAGTATTTATCATAATTGCCATTTAATCAATATGTGGTCAAGCTTTATATTTTACTGCATCTATATTTGTATGTTTCTTTCACTTAATTTAGGTAACATGTATTGCGTATTTCTTCTCGGCCACCGGCTACTGTGATCACCGCATCCGAAGTGCTGAAACCAGAGCATCGCTCTCCCTGTATGGCGTCATACTGCCGGAAACTCTCAAGTCCTCTACTCTCCGGCGTCTCGGATATCCCGATGCCGCCGCATTGCGTGCTAAGGATCTTGATTGTGCTGATGCCCCGTCGACTTTTCTAAATGACATCTCTGCCTTCGCTGATGAACTCAAATGTGAGTCTCTCTCTCTCTCTCTCTCTCTCTCTCTCTCTCTCTCTCTCTCTCTCTCTCTCTCTCTCTCTCTCTCTCTCTCTCTCCTTCAAACCTTGAATTGTTAGATGCAGATATGTAAGTACTTCAAAATTATACAATGAACAGTAGAACTTGTTGTTAAAAACAAAAATTGAAGCGGATATGTTATGATATTGTTGCTTGATTTGTTGATTTCACATATATATTTTATATAATACATGGATGTATATACTTTATCAATACATGTTAGCATCTTTAATGGAATATTCTGCTAGAAAATGGGATCAACGAGTGCTTGAGTATGTTCAACAAATATAAATGAATTATATTGTAAGCCATGTGGTCTGATTAATACATTTGTAAATATGAAGATGTTCTTCAAGATGTGAATTGGCATCTATTGTTAATCTGTTTTGCATTGTTTGTTCTCTGTGATAACAAATTTTGATTTTTTCTATATGGACCAAGATCTTGGGCATAATGGATTACTATTTCAGTGAAAGATTCATGGTTTGTTTCCTCTTGAAACATTTTCTATCGTATGCTAATTTGATACATTTGCAGTCTAGGAGGATTTATGTATCTATTACGCACTACGATTGTTCATAGCCTTCAATCAAAATGAATGAGATTTTGAATAAAGCAAACTGATAAAACCTCAAAGCTCTTAATCTCTTGATCTTCTGAAAAACCAAGTTGCTCCAAATTCTCCATTTGTAATTAACTGTCATTTACAGGTTCTTATAGAGAATTTTTGGTATCTGCACTTGTTGATCAGATGTTCTTTTATTCTGTTTAGTAAGCTTTATAGTGTGTTAATCATTTGTTTTTGTTATTCATGCAGAATAATGCTGATGGCACCATGTTACATGCCTTTGAAGACTGAAGTTGGCTGGTATCGAATTTTTATGAATGTTAATGATCAGTGTTTATATTTACCTTTTGAATAGGTAAGTAATTTTTTGAATCATCTCTTGCAGGTATGTTCTAAAGAAAATTCGTCTCTCTAAGGAGAGAGAATTTTAAGAACAAAGAGTGCCACAAAGTTATTTTTAAATACTTGCGTTCTTTAGTGTTTTGGAGTTGCGTAATTTTTTTTTTCGAGTTTGAACTATTTTGCTACTGCACAAACATATTGTTCAATGAATAATGATTGTCCGAGTGTTAGTTCTAATGCATGCCTGTCTATGTTTGCAGATGAGTTTAATTCCAAAGCTACGCCATCCGTTTATAGTTGAATATAAAGATGTTTGGGTCGACAAGGTATTACGTTGTTTCATTAATCTTGATTTTTGTGTTTGAAAGATTTTCTAAATTTCTAATATATTTTATGTAGAGAAACTGCATATGCATTGTGACCAACTAATATAAGGTCAAATGATATGTTCTACACCCTATATATACACACGAGTATATTTACGATAAATGATGAGAAATAATATTTTTGAATTCCAGCTAAATAGCAATTATTATATTTGCTTATCTTTTTATTTTCAATTTGCAGATTTGAAAGTGCAAAGACGGTTGTGAGGAGGAAGTATATTGCTCCACTGAAGGGAGGAGGGTGTCTATATATTATGTAGTTTATTTTTTAATGTAAATTTCAATTTGATTTTATTGACTCATGTATTTTGTATGTGTAATTGTACGATATATTGCAATACAATTTTATTTTCAAAATTATTGTTTAGTTTTGCGGAATTGATTATTAGTTTATTTAATTTAAATATGAATAATATAAATATTATATAACAAATCATATATTTGTTATAATTTATTATTGTGACGAACTAATTGTCTCAATAGATAGTGTCTCATGTGACAAAATACTTTGTCACAAGAAGTAAGTGAAAAGACTACTTCTTGTGACGACCAAAGGTTTTAGTGACGAACATATTATGTTAATGCGACGAATACTTCGTCACAACAATAGAACTTTATGTGACGAATTTTGCTTTGTCACAATATTTTGTGACGAAAACTTCAGTTTGTCACATATCACCTTTCGCGACGGGGCCTACGCGACGACCCCTGTGACGAAAAATATTGTCACGTAAATTCTTTTGAGACGAAATATTGAGTTTTTGCGACGAATTTTGCGTCACATAAAACAGTTTTTTTTGTAGTGAGTAGGAGATAGTAAAATGTTTGGTTGGTAAGATTAAACATTACTCAAGTCCACTATTAAGGTTGAAGTCTATAATTAAGTGCTATTATGTCATGAAATTAGTAAAACCCTTCCTCCTGTGATTAATTTTATATATATTGGTGACTAAACGAAAATTTACAATTTTATCTTTACAACAATAACTTAATTTTTTAAAATAAAAGACTTTATAGACAATTCACATATAATGACTAAGAAATTTAACACAACATAAAATCTAAAAAACCAAACATATTATTAATTACTTATAGTTAACCTATAGGGAGCTAACCCAATCTCATATGATCTAATCCGATATAGGTAAGCAACGTTATTTAATAAATATTCTACTAACTAAACTTTAAATAACCCATGTAGCTCATATTTTGAAGGTACATGCTATTCATCGCTATAGTTTTCTGTAATTTATTTGTGCTTATTATCTCGGAGGTTTAAGAGTACTTAAGTATTATAGCTCGCCACATGACGATTGCTCCAGTTACATCACTTAACCACGCTCCCACGGTAGGACCACTCTCGGCATTCTCAACCTCGTGGCGGGATCCCTCCCGCGGCGGTACTACCGCGTGGCGAGATCACTCTAGCACCGCTACTACCGCGCGACTATCACATTTAGCCCATCCCAATGGGTAGGCCAACAAGACCTACGCCTTGGCCCTAAAAAAAAATGTTGTTTTTTAAGAGGCTCAAGATCTAATATTAAGCTTGTTGAATTTTGAATGCCTATGGATATCTACTCATCTGTTGAGACAGACTACATGTTACGACATTAGGTGACGTAACAGAATTGTTGTGTTGTCACAGTAATAAATCTACGAAAAGCCGAATAAAGAACACAACAATTTAATGTGGTTCGGATACAAATGTACCCTACATCCACGAGGACTTGCAAACTAGTTCAGATTTAAGTGTACATTAATAGGACTTAATAAAACACTAAAGACTCCCTGTTTATGTGATACGCCGTTCTTGCACACGACTCGAACTTGTTGATAATCAAAGCAATTCCTCCTGCGCACTCTTGGACTTCCTCCAATGTTGAACTACCTTCAAACGGCGGATCGACCTCTCCCGAGATCTTTTAAGCACTTCTCCCGAAACGCCGATCTTCTTTATGGCCTGGTAGAAGAAACCTGTTCTGTTGCCACACCTGCCGTGCAGACAGGGCTGCACCCTTCAAAGCCTTTATGCTGGGATTTTTCTTATTAAAGCTCCATCAGACTCATATGAGGTTGAGGGCCTTATATAGGCACGAAATCCACCACCCTAAACCTAACTTGAGCCCTAAGAAATCGATTAACTAGGTAATAGAATCCTAGTCGATTTCTACTTCTATTCTAGATAAATACAAAAGATACCTAACTAGAATACAATACATGGAAATAAATCTAAGTCCTAATAAAAAATATTACAAGAATAGGACTCTAATTAATTCCAAAATAAACATGGAAAACAAATCTTTGCCAATCTTTAATTTCCACATATGGTGAATTTCACTAACGGAAATTTGGTGCAAACAATCTCCCCCTTTGGCATAGATTGGTTAGAATCCATGTTTAACAAGAACTCCCCCTGCAGATGAGATTTACTCCCCCTGCAAAAAAGATATCACTTTTCTTCACCCGTCTTGGTCTTCTATCAGAGTGTCCCATCACGGGGCACGTTACAACGCAGCGGAATTGGGTGAATGCCGTGACAGACTTCCGTCTCAACCTTCCTTGTGAACACACGTCATCGAATAAGCAAAGCAAACAAATCAAAACCCAAAATCAGACACTAAGTATATCTAGTGACCCGCTCTGATACCAATTGTTGAATTTTGAATGCCTATGGATATCTACTCATCTGTTGAGACAGAATACATGTTACGACATTAGGTGACGTAACAGAATTGTTGTGTTGTCACAGTAATAAATCTACGAAAAGCAGAATAAAGAACACAACAATTTAATGTGGTTCGGATACAAATGTACCCTACATCCACGAGGACTTGCAAAACTAGTTCAGATTTAAGTGTACATTAATAGGACTTAATAAAACACTAAAGACTCTCTGTTTATGTGATACGCCGTTCTTGCACACGACTCGAACTTGTTGATAATCAAAGCAATTCCTCCTCCGCACTCTTGGACTTCCTCCAATGTTGAACTTCCTTCAAACGGCGGATCGACCTCTCCCGAGATCTTTTAAGCACTTCTCCCGAAACGCCGATCTTCTTTATGGCCTGGTAGAAGAAACATGTTCTGTTGCCACACATGCCGTGCAGACAGGGCTGCAGCACGGGCTGCACCCTTCAAAGCCTTTATGCTGGGATTTTTCTTATTAAAGCTCCATCGGACTGATATGAGGTTGAGGGCCTTATATAGGCACGAAATCCACCACCCTAAACGTAACTTGAGCCCTAAGAAATCGATTAACTAGGTAATAGAATCCTAGTCGATTTCTACTTCTATTCTAGATAAATACAAAAGATACCTAACTAGAATACAATACATGGAAATAAATCTAAGTCCTAATAAAAATATTACAAGAATAGGACTCTAATTAATTCCAAAATAAACATGGAAAACAAATCTTTGCCAATCTTTAATTTCCACATATGGCGAATTTCACTAACGGAAATTTGGTGCCAACAATCTCCCCATTTGGCATAGATTGGCTAGAATCCATGTTTAACAAGAACTCCCCCTGCAGATGAGATTTACTCCCCCTGCAAAAAAGATATCACTTTTCTTCACCCGTCTTGGTCTTCTATCAGAGTGTCCCATCACGGGGCACGTTACAACGCAGCGGAAGTGGGTGAATGCCGTGACAGACTTCCGTCTCAACCTTCCTTGTGAACACACGTCATCCAATAAGCAAAGCAAACAAATCAAAACCCAAAATCAGACACTAAGTATATCTAGTGACCCGCTCTGATACCAATTGTTGAATTTTGAATGCCTATGGATATCTACTCATCTGTTGAGACAGACTACATGTTACGACATTAGGTGACGTAACAGAATTGTTGTGTTGTCACAGTAATAAATCTACGAAAAGCAGAATAAAGAACACAACAATTTAATGTGGTTCGGATACAAATGTACCCTACATCCACGAGGACTTGCAAAACTAGTTCAGATTTAAGTGTACATTAATAGGACTTAATAAAACACTAAAGACTCCCTGTTTGTGTGATACGCCGTTCTTGCACACGACTCGAACTTGTTGATAATCAAAGCAATTCCTCCTCCGCACTCTTGGACTTCCTCCAATGTTGAACTTCCTTCAAACGGCGGATCGACCTCTCCCGAGATCTTTTAAGCACTTCTCCCGAAACGCCGATCTTCTTTATGGCCTGGTAGAAGAAACATGTTCTGTTGCCACACCTGCCGTGCAGACAGGGCTGCAGCACGGGCTGCACCCTTTAAAGCCTTTATGCTGGGATTTTTCTTATTAAAGCTCCATCGGACTCATATGAGGTTGAGGGCCTTATATAGGCACGAAATCCCCCACCCTAAACCTAACTTGAGCCCTAAGAAATCGATTAACTAGGTAATAGAATCCTAGTCGATTTCTACTTCTATTCTAGATAAATACAAAAGATACCTAACTAGAATACAATACATGGAAATAAATCTAAGTCCTAATAAAAATATTACAAGAATAGGACTCTAATTAATTCCAAAATAAACATGGAAAACAAATCTTTGCCAATCTTTAATTTCCACATATGGCGAATTTCACTAACGGAAATTTGGTGCCAACAAAGCTGTTTATGTATTCTTCATTACAATAATCGGAGGTTGCACCATCTAAAGGAGAACAAATAGCTATTCTTCTAATATCATCTTCTACATTGAGGAAAATTATGAGAGGGTGAGACGAAGGATTTTTAGCATACTTAATCAATAAACCACATCAGTGAAGCAAATTGGAAGAAATACATGTAACTGGATACTTTCCTGAAATCTTTCCAAGAGAAATTGATTCATTGTTGTTAAGTGTATAATTTTACACTTAATAATATATTTTTATTGGATTTTTTAGTATATTTTATTGATAATTGGAGCTTAAAGTTTTGGTTTATTGTGTTTCAGACACAAATTGTTGATGAATAAATTAAGGGTCAAAACTGCAATTTAGAAGAAAAGGTGGACAAATTTGTAGAAGTAACATAAAAGAAAGATTGCGCAGCAAAGGAACTTCCAAAACATACAAAGAAAACTCTCATTTCTCCATTTTTTCCCACTTTATAAAAGGTCATCTCAAGCACACAATTAGGGGTCCTCTTTTATTACGCAATTTCGAGAGCAAAGAAGCAGTAACGAAGACTTTGAAGATTCAAGCATAGTTTTTATCTTCCACGAATTCTTTTTACCTAACTTTTAATTTAATCATGAGTATATAAACTCTTTATTTGTATGATTTTATTTTGAACATAATTGTGTAGGATTTATGAACCATTTTTCAGGATTTTATGCAAATTTTAATTTCGGATTATTTCATTTACTTGTTTTATTAAGAGCATGAACCTGACCACTTTATGTGATTTATTGTTATTGTTGAATGCATGAATCGGAAGATCGTTTAACAATGAGACAGCAGTAGAAGAGCAATATTTGTTGTATTAATATAAGAATATAGTTAATCTCTTAGCTAACCATTATTGAGATGCGTACTTCATTTGTGTTCTAGATTTAATTATTAAGAATATAGTAATTCAATCTAAAATATTAGAATCGTAATACACATGGAAGCGGGTTATGATTAATTTAGCATCTCAGGTTAGTAATCCGATTTCATAACTTGCATAATTCTAGGAATTGGGGAATTAATAATCACAAAGGGGGAAGAATAAAGGGCAAATGGCGAAAAGAGACATGATAAGGGACTTAAATGCACATTGGTCTACAAAAAAAAAACCGTATTTCAAATAAACTCATCCACATGTCTTTAGTCTTAAATACCCTCCATAATATAATTCTCATCAATTCCATCCATATGTTCTAACTTCCTTAATCTTACACATTGACCCTGGATTTAAAAAAAAAAATATTACATTAACTCCCATTTTAATAATTTTTTGAAAAAATATTTTTTTTTAATAATTTTTTTTCAAAAAAAATTTCCCGGCCAAATACTGGCGTTGACTTTTTTTGATTTTTTTTGTTCTTTGGAATTTTATTTTTTTCTTAAAAAAAATTATTTTAATTAATATTACTGTCTTGGCTGCTAATTTACTGTCTCAGACAGTAATATTAAGAATATTATTTTTTTTCGAAAAGTAGTATTATTAATATTACTGTCCCAAACAGTAATTTTATTGCATGAGACAGTAATATTACGGTCGAAGACACTAAATTACAGTTGAAGACAACAAAAATGCAGGGCAAGACAATAAAATTAATTAACACAATAATATTAGTGTCTCATGCAGTTAAAATACTGTTGGAGACAGTAATTTAACAGCCAAGACAGTAATATAATTAAAATATTTTTTATAAGAAAAAAAAAAGTCAATTAACAGTTAAGTTACTGTCTCCGACAGTTAAATTACTGTTGAAGACAGTAATTTAGCAACGAAGACAGTAATATTAATTATAATATTAAAAAAAAAAGTCAATTAACAGTTAACTTACTGTCTCTGACAGTTAAATAACTGCTGAAGTCAGTAATTTAGCAGTCAAGATAGTAATATTAATTAAAGTATTTTTTTATTAAAAAAAAAGGTCAATTAACAGTTAAATTAATGTCTCCGACAGTTAAATAACTGCTGGAGACAGTAATTTAGCAGCCAAGAATGTGATATTAATTAAATTATTTTTTTAAGAAAAAAGGGTCAATTACCAGTTAAATTATTGTCTTTGACAATTAAATAACTGCTACTGGTGGAGACAGTAATTTAGCAGACAAGACAATAATATTCCGTAAAATATTTTTTTAAGAAAACATAAAAAAAAAAAAAAAACCTCAACGTCGGAGACCTGTCGATCAACAGCAGTTGGCCTACCGGAAAAAATAAGTTTTCAAGAAAAAAAAAAGTAAGTGCCGGAGACCGGCGGTCAATGACGGCTGACCAGCGGTCTCCGGTGGTGGCAGGTCAAAATTGAGGTCAAAATTGATTAATTGGTGAAATTGGACTAAATTGGGGTGTAAATCATAAAATTGGAGTTGAAATGGGTTTCAATGAATTTGGGGTAGTTTTAGTATATATAAAAGATTTTTCCTTATTTGCAAATAGGTCTAAATGAGCTGGAAATATTTGAAAGACAAAAAAGTTGGATGTCCCTTTTTAAATTAAATGTCCTTGTCATGGGCATATTGGCCATTTGTCCAAGAATAAAATCCTAGAGTTGTTTAATCTGATAAATCGTCGTGTTTATTTACTTTTGTGCTCTTGCTTGTTTATTTTGCTTTTAAATTTCTTTCGTTTAATTTAGTATAATTATTCAACTTTCAACTGTGTAGGATGGACTTGATTATAATTGGTAGAATTTAGCGACTAAGATTAGATAATTAATATTAGTGATATCGATATTATTCAAACTTAATTATACACTATATTACATGTTTGATACGTACACGTATATGTAGGTAAAATAACCAACAATTGCCACGAAAGAGATAAATAGAGTTTGTCGTTAAAACACTTGCAGGCATAACACAAGAACCTAGGACACCGTACATAATGGCTCCAATTGAGCCCAAAGAATTAAAAAAAAAAAAAAAAAAAAAAAAAAAAAAAAAAAATTGCAACAATTGTTGAATAGAGGTTTCATTCTACCAATTGGCTATTTGGGAAGAAAACTGACGTAACACAGGATATGTATCATTTGCCGTGGACTAAATAGGTGTCAGCGTCAAGATCAAATGTTTGGTGCCTCACATTGACGACTTATTTGATATCTTATAAAATTCCAGGGTGTATTCTAAGTTGGATTTAAGGCATGGGGTATTATCAATTAAGATGATAAATTATAACCACCTCCATAAGATAAAATGTTTTTACTAAAAACCCTCTTATTTTTTAAAAATCACATCTAGTCCTTGCAGTTTGTAAATTTAGTACATTTGCCCCTTTAAAAGAGTATTAGCGTCAAAAAGCTACAGATTGCAGGGGTGAATGTAATTATATGAACAGAAGGGTTTTTTTTTAATATAAATAGAACTACTCAAGGGGTGTTCGTAATTTACCGTCATAAATTGAGGGATATTTACATTTAAAATTTTGAAGAGATCAATTTGAAATTGTATATCAAGTATTCAGAAAGTTTCTTTCCGCAATTTATACAACTATTCTCAACGACTGTAAAATAAAAAAAATAAAATTAAAATAAAAATAAAAATCACATATCTTTCAGTGGGCATTGGTGCAACAAGGAATTAAGTATATATATTGGATATGTGGTAGTATAAGCTGTTTAGTGTTGTTTAGTAATTTATGTATAGCCTTTAGCATTTATAAGTCTCTTGTTAAATAAAACGTGTTTTAGTTATTACGATTTTATTAGTTTTTCTTCTTTTCATTAGCACTTTTAGGTAGTTAGTGTAACAGCAATTTAAAGCTGATTTATGTTACTGTTGTAATTATTTTTTTCTTTTCTAATAATCATCTTTTTCTTCTTTTCTCTCTGTTCTTTCCCTCTTTCAATTTTCCTTCTGATATGAACCCTAGATTAGGGTTCTAACATGGTATCAGTTTTTCATTGATTCGATCGTAGTTTTTCGTTCATTCGATTGATTATTTTCTCGTTTCCGCACGATTATATTCTGTTATCTAGATCATCGATTTTGGCTTGTAATTCATGACGCCGCCAGCTCGTTCTCCGTTGGATGATGTTTCGCATCCGATGTTTCTTCATTCGTCTAATGGTCCAAATTTGATTCTGGTTTCGCAGCTTTTAACTGAAGACAATTATGCTTCGTGGTCGCGAGCTATGACGATTTCATTGATTGTGAAGAACAAAATTGGTTTTATCGATGGCACGATTTTCGAGCCTGTTGCTGATGAGTTGGTTATGAGAAATGCTTGGATTCGAAATAACAATATTGTCATGTCTTGGATTATTAATTTTGTTTCCAAGGATATTCAAGGCAGTATTATGTATTCCAATTCGTCGAAAGACATTTCTGATGATTTGAAAACTCGGTTCTCGCAGACAAATGGTCCTCGCATTTTTCAATTGCGTCGTGATTTGGCAAATCTTACACAAGGCATTCAATCAGTGAATGTATATTTCACTAAAGTCAAGGCAATTTGGGATGAATTGGCGAATTATCGGTCGTGTTGTTCTTGTGGCAAGTGTGTCTGTGGTGGTTTTGAAAAATTACAGGCTCATTATAATCAAGAGTATGTCATGAGTTTCCTTATGGGTTTGAATGAAAGTCTACTTCTACTCGAGGCCAAATCTTGCTCATGGATCCGCTTCCTCCCATATCTAAGGTGTTTGCGTTTATTTCTCAAGAAGAACGTCAAAGATCAGTTGTATCTTCACATGTAGAGTCTAGTGGTTCTGTCTTTTCTGTCAAGAATGAGGCGTTTAAGCGGTCCATTAATAATCAGTTCTACAATCCTGGTTTGAAGAAGAGAGAGCGGAGTTTTTGCACACATTGTAATATGCAGGGACACACAGTGGAGAAGTGTTATAAACTTCATGGATATCCTCCATCTTATAAGCAAAAATCTCGTTTTTCCTCTCATGCTAATCAATTTTCTGGTTTTGACACTCCTTTGGATCTTCATTCTTCAGATTCAGGTGTTAGCTCTCACCACATGGATGGATATCTTCAGACCATGACTCCCTCTCAGTGTCAGCAGTTTATGAATATGTTTTCATCACACATGGCTGCTCAACAGCAACAATCTGCTAATTCTGTTCAGCAACACTCATCTGCTCAAGGAGCTGATACAGCCACGGTTTCTTGTGTGACATGTACTTGTGCTTTAACTGGTACTCCTGTTTTATCTTCAAATGATTGGATCCTTGATTCAGGTGCTTCTAAACATATTTCCCATAATAAGCAGATGTTTGTTAATCTCAGATCTGTTAGTAATTCCAGGGTTCTTTTACCTGATTCTTCTGTTTTAATTGTTTCCTATGTGGGTGATGTTCGTTTGTCTGATGATATTTTTCTTACTGAGGTTTTTTATGTTCCCCAGTTCAAATTTAATCTCATTTCTGTGAGTACTTTTCTCCAAAACAATCAATTTTTTTTTGGTTTTTCTACATTTAATTTTGTCATACAGGACAAGTTCTTCAAGATGATTGGGAGGGGTAGAAAGGCTGAGGAGCTTTATGTCTTGGATATACCTCCTTTTCTGCTTCCTCTTTCCATATCTTCTTGTGATTTTGTGGTTTTTTGTAATCAATCATCTGCCACTGTTTGGCATAAGAGGTTAGGTCATATGCCTTTTAAGAAATTGAGTTTTTTAAAGGCTTTTCTTCCAGTTTCTCTTGGTTTTTCTGCTCCTAAAGACAGCTGCTGTCATGTTTGCCCTGTTGCTAAACAGAAGAGGCTTTCTTTTCCTTCTCATAATCATGTTGTTGATCATGTTTTTGATCTCATTCATTGTGATATTTGGGGTCCTTATAAAGTGCCTTCTTATAATGGTTTCAAATATTTCATTACCATTGTAGATGATTGTTCCAGGTACACATGGGTTCATTTGGTTCATTCTAAATCTGATGCTTTAGTTGTGATTCCTCGTTTTTATTTCTATGATTCAAACTCAGTTTGGTAAGACCATTAAAGTTTTTCGTTCTGATAATGCTCCAGAGTTGTATTTTAATCATTTGTTTGCTCATCTGTGTATTTTACATCAGTTTTCTTGTGTACAAACTCCTCAACATAATGCTATTGTTGAGAGAAAAAATCAGCCTATTTTGAATGTGGCTCGATCTTTGTTTTTTTAGTCTAAAATCCCTGTTGAATATTGGAGTGATTGTGTTAGTACTGCTGTTTATCTCATTAATCGTATTCCCTCTAAGGTCTAACACAATGTTTCTCCTTACAGTATTAATTATTTATCCTAATTCTCTTTTTGATTATACTAGTCTTAAAGTTTTTGGTTGTCTTTCTTTTGCTTCCACCTTATCTGCTGCTAGAGATAAGTTTCAGCCTAGAGCAAGGTCTTGTGCTTTTATTGGGTATCCTACTGGTGTTAAGGGTTATAAACTCTTAGATATTCACAGTAAGGAAGTGTTTTTCTCTAGAGATGTGGTGTTTCATGAGGATTTGTTTCCTTTTACAACTATTCCTAGTTCTTCCACTGAGTCTCTGTTTGATTCTCAGTCTGTTGTTCCTCTTTCTCGGTCTATTCATTTATCTGCTGTTCCCATTGATCCTTATGTGGATCCCTTGCCTTCTTCTTCTCAGCCTAGAAGGTTTGTTAGATAGGTCAAGCCTCCCTCTTACTTGACAGATTATGCTTGTCCTGGTTTGCATAAGTCTAATTATCCCATTGCTTCTGTTTTGTCTTATGATAAGTTGTCTAGTGATTATAGACATTTTGTTTTTAATCTTTCTCATGATTCAAAGCCTCATACTTATAAACAAGCTATTCAGCATCCTCAATGGGTTGGTGCTATGCAAGAAGAGCTTGATGCTCTTGAGGCCAATCACACTTGGTCTGTTGTTGCTTTGTCTCCTGACAAACATGCTATAAGCTGTAAATGAGTGTATAAGCTCAAGCGAAAGCAAGATGGTTCTATTGACAGGTATAAAGCTCGATTGGTAGCTCGAGGTTTTACTCAACAAGAAGGTGTAGATTACATTGATACTTTTTCTCATTTTGTTAAGCTTGTTTCTGTTAATCTTTTGCTTGCTTTAGCTGCTGTTAATGGTTGGGAACTGCATCAACTTGATGTTAATAATGCTTTTTTAAATGGAGATTTGCATGAAGAAGTCTATATGGATTTGCCTTTGGGGTATTCCAAGGCCTCTATATCTTCAGGTTCTTCTTCTCATTTAGTTTTTAAACTACACAAGTCCTTATATGGCCTCAAGCAAGCTTCCAAACAATGGAATGCAAAGTTTACAGAGGTTATTTTGGGTTTAGGTTTTATTCAATCTCAAAATGATTATTCTCTGTTTACTCGAGGTCATGGTTCTTCTTTTATTGTCTTATTGCTCTATGTAGATGACATGGTTATTGCTGGTCCTAGTTCTGCAAATATTTCAGGTTTCAAACAGGTTTTAAGCACTAAGTTTAAACTCAAAGATCTTGGTCCTATGAAGTATTTTTTTGGGTATTGAAATAGCCAGGTCTCATTCTGGTATTTCTCTTTCACAGAGACAGTATACTCTTACTCTTCTTGAATATACTAAATATATAGATTGTAAGCCAGTTACTTTGCCCATGGATCCTAAGTTGAAACTCTCTTCAGAAGATGGTGAATTGCTTGCAGATTCTTCAGCTTATAGAAGGCTCATTGGCAGGCTTTTATATCTTACCATTACTCGGCCAGACATTGCTTATACAGTTCATAAGCTTAGTCAGTTTGTTTCTGCTCCTCGCACTTCCCATATGCAAGTTGTCCATCATTTATTAAGATATCTTAAAGCAGCTCCTAGTCAAGGTTTATTTTACTCATCCACTTCAGATCTCATTATCAAAGGTTTTTCAGATGCTGATTGGGGCTCTTGTCTTGATACTTGAAAGTCTACCACTGGGTTTTGCATTTTTTTGGGTGATTCTTTGATCTCTTGTAAGTCCAAGAAACAGGTGACTGTTTCCAGATCCTCTGCAGAGGCAGAGTACAGAGCTCTAGCTACTACTGCTAGTGAATTGGTTTGGGTACTCCAATTGTTACATGATTTTCAAGCTGTTCCCCCATCCACTTTGCTCTTTTGTGACAATTTGGTTGTTGTTCATATTGCTTCTAATCCAACATTTCATGAAAGGACTAAGCACATAGAGATTGATTGTCATTTTGTCAGGTTAAACAGAAGAAGTTCAGACTCATGCCTGTTAAAAGTTGTGACCAGCTTGCAGAACTCTTTACTAAAGCATTGCCTCTTCCAGCTTTTACACATTTGTTGTCCAAGATGGCTTTCCTCAACATCTATGCTTGCTCAAGTCCATTTTGAGGGGGGATATTGGATATGTGGTTGTAGTATAAGTTGTTTAGTGTTGTTTAGGCTATGTTTGGATGCATTTTTGTTTTGTTTTCATTGTTTCCCCTAAACAAAATGGGATTTATTACACCTTTCAAATCATTTTCTCAAAACAATTTCAAAAGTTTCTCTCTCTTTCAGACATGATGTGACTGCTACAGTAAAATGATTTGACTGCTACAGTAAAAAATGTCTTCACTAAAAAACAAATAAACATCACTTCATCTTTCAATTTTTTTCTTCAAAAATACTTTTTTCTAACACCTTTAAACATGATTTGACTGTTACAGTGTATTTTGTCTCCTTCCAAAATACAAACAAACATTACTTTCATTCTCAAATTATTCCCCCAAAACATATTTCCTCAAAATGAAATCAAAATAAGATCCAAAACGCTTCCAAACATTGCCTTAGTAATTTATGTATAGCCTTTAGCTTTTATAAGTCTCTTGTTAAATAAAACGTGTTTTAGTTATTACGATTTTATTAGTTTTTCTTCTTTCCATTAGCACTTTTAGGTAGTAGCTATTTAAAGCTGATTTTTGTTACCGTTGTAATTATTTTTTTCTTTTCTAATAATCATCTTTTTCTTCTTTTCTCTCTGTTCTTTCCCTCTTTCAATTTTCCTTCTGATATGAACCCTAGATTAGGGTTCTAACAATATATATTATGCCTTCTATCAATTAAGCACAGTCAACAATTAATTATAAATTCAAAATTCAACAAAAAAAAAATCATTTTTTATATAAACTATGGATTCATATAGACTGGCCCCATTGTATTTTAATTTATGCTATTTTAATGGAACTTACTAATTACTCCTTGAATAATTCAAGGGCAAAGCTCCCCAACCCTCGTCATCCTTAAAAATCATTTCCTAGCTTCACCACTGTCAATCCGATTTCGAACAATCTTAACAAAAATCCTAGATCGCGAGTACCTGTACCTAGGACCTATGTTATGATTTGAGTTGGAGAAATTAAGAACCAATAATTATCTTATTTTTCTTTAAAAAAAAATAAACTACAATATAATTGAACACATGGTACATGCATACAGGCGGGAATATTAGTTGCAGTGATTGAAAGTCATACAAAAACAAAATGAGAGTCATACGCAAGAGATGGCGCATGCTATTGATGTTTATGGTCCTGAACATGTTGGTGGTCCATCAAAGCATCTACTGACATGTGTCAGTTGTACGGAGATATTGTCAGTGTCGGAGGTGATGTTATCAGCCAGTCCCTCTTTATCCTCCTATGTTCTTTTGGATACTTGTATTACTGCTAACTGAAATGCTAATTGTAGCGGGACTTTTACTGAAATCGACTTATTTGCAGGGGTAGTCTCATTTGTCAATTTTCTAATTTTCTAAAACAACTGAAACTCTCTCAACTAAAAAAAGTCGAAAACTTAGAATTTGAAGCTCGTTCGACAAATTCAAAAACGAACAACGGCTTCTTCGATAGTTGATCCGAATAACTTTTATATGATAAAAACAAAGAGAAAATAAATTAAAAGTTGGTGTAATCGTGCTATACAACACGAGAAGTATCAACAAAAAGAAAAAATAATGGAGTTACCCGTGCTGTACAGCACGGGAACTTGGGTATTAATTTTCAATTTTTTTATTTTTTTACTTTATTCTTTTGTATTATTAATTTTTATAATTAGTAGGGTGATGATGGTGATTTTGACGAAAATTTTGACGATGAATGTACAAAGGAGTACAATAATCTGAATATGTGTTATCATGTTTCTCAAGTAATTACAAAATTCGATATTTAGAAAAAAATATTAAAAAAAAATATTAAAACTTAAGTTCTTGTTCTGCAGAATACGGGAACTTGAATAATCTTCAAGTTCCCGTGTTCTGCAGAACGGGAACTTAAATTTTTTTGAGTCCTCCGTTCTGCAGAGCACGGGAAAATGAAGATTATTCAAGTTCCCGTGTTCTATAGCACGGGTGATTCATATTTAAATTTTTTTTTTTCCGAAATTAAAAATTCAAAAAACAGTTTGAAGGTCCTGTTTTCTGGAGCACGAAGTTTTGACTCTCCCGTTTTCTGGAGCACGAGAACTCGAAGAAAATTCAACTTCCCGTTCTCCGCAGAACGGAGGATTCAAGCCGTTTGAATCACCCGTTCTGCAGAGTACGGAAACTTGAATTTTCTTCGAGTTTCCGTGCTCTAGAAAACAGGAGATTCAAATTTTTTTTTTTCCGAAATTTTGCTAAATCTTATCCTAAACATGTGTTTTTACCTAAATTGGAAATAAAACTAATTAAAAGTAGTAGGATATTGAAAATTTACCGGAATCGAGCCTCGTTTGCTACGGTTTGAATGTCGAAAAAATTTACGAAATTCGAATTTCTAGAGAGTGTTTGGGAATAGGAGAGAGAGAAATTGAAAAAAAAAATGAAAAAGGTACCGCTTCAAATAAGCCAATTTCAGTAGAAGTCTGCAAGTAGCGACCCCCTAGTGCTATACTATAAATGAGATCTAATAAAATTATTTGGGTGTTTTGTAAAAGGGTGAAATACATGTTGCACCCTTGTACTATAATTACTGTTGCATTTACCCTATGTACTATTAAATATTATAAAACGACCCATGCCTTTCACAGTCAACTCTTAATGTTTTTTCTTATCAAAAAAAAACTCTTAATGTTTTAAGGGGTTGTCTAGGGTCCGAGAGGGGTTGTACTACTCGGACCCAAACGATTTAATCTGGTGCGTAGAAAATATTTAGCTAAAATTTATAGTCGTTGATTTAAAGTACGAACTAGTACGATCCAGTACGAACCTATGAATTTATAAATTAAAGTACGAACCCAGTAAAAATAGATCGTACAAAGGTCGTACTCCATCGTACTTCATGTAAAATTACTTTATTAACCTTACATTATTAAACCACAGAATTAAAAGTAGGGTTAACTGTATTTTGCCCCTAACTTTGGTCATTTCTGCACTTTGCCCCCCAAATAAATAAAAAATTCCACGATCATACCTCGACTAACTAATTTAGCCCAATTTCACCAATTAACCAATTTTTTACCATAATTTCAATTTTGACTCGCCACCACCGGAGACCGCCAAAAACCCACGGTCTCCGGCGTTAACTCTTTTTTTTTTTTTTTCAAAACTTTTTTTGTCTGAAATTCTTTTCCGGTAGCTCAATCGCAGGGTCTCCGGCTTTGATTTTTTTTTTTTTTTCTAAAAAAAACTATTTTAACTAATATTAATGTATTGGCTATTAAATTATTGTCTTCAGCAGTTATTTAACTGTCGGAGAGAGTAATTTAATGTTAATTAACCTTTTTTCTTAAAAAAAATATATTAATCTTACTATCTTGACTGCTAAATTACTGTCTTCACAGTTATTTAATAGTCGAAGACAGTAATTTAATTGTTAATGGACTTTTTTTTTTCTAAAAAATAATATTTTAATTAATATTACTGTCTTGGCTACAGTAATTTAGCTTTCGGATACAATAATTTAACTGTTAATTGACTTTTTTTTTTTTAATTTTGTTTTTTCTGAAAAAAAATATTTTAATTAATATTACTGTCTTGGCTCAAAATTACTGTCTCCAACAGTAATTTAACTGTCTGAGACAATAATATTACTGTATTAATTAATTTTATCGTCTTGGCCTGCATTATTGTTGTCTTCGACTGTAATATTATTGTCTTCGACCGTAATATTACTGTCTCAAGCAATAATGCATTATTGCGGTTCGGGAAATAATATTCATAATTTTACTGTGCGAAACAGTAATATTATTGTCTGAAATAGTAATATTACTGTATGAGACAGTAATTTAGTAGGCAAAATAGTAATATTAATTAAAATATTTTTATCTAAGAATTTTTTTTTCAAAAACGAAATTAAAAAAAAAGTCAACTTCGGAGAGCGGCGGTCAACTGCGGTTGACTGGTCGGAAAAAAAAAATTCAGAAAAAAAATGTTTTCAAAAAAAAATTCAATGCCGGACAACGCCCGCCAGGTCAACGCCGGAATCTGGCCGGAAAAAAATTTTAGAAAAAAAATTATTTTCTAAAAAAAAATATTTTTCAAAAAATTATTAAAATGAGGGTTAATGTGATATATTTGTTTAAATTCGGGGCCAATGTGTAATATTAAGGAAGTTAGAGTATAATGGGTGAAATTGATAAAAATATATTATGGAGGGTATTTTAGAGTAAAGACATGGTGATGGGTTTATTTGAAAGATTGTTGTTTATGTGTACCAATGTGCATTTAAGTCCCTTGTCATGGCCCTAATTATTAATTATTATTAATTGTTACTTAAGTTTTAGTTATAGGGGTTTTTAGGTAATTTCACTTATAAGGTAGGTATCGTACTTTTTTTGTGGGGTTCGTACAAATCATACGTGTCACATTTTTATTGGTTGATTTTCAATCGTTTGGGTCCGAGTAGTACAACCCCTCTCGGACCCTAGACAACCCCATGTTTTAACACCGTTAAGTAGTACTGTGCAATTACAGTTGTACCCTTACCCAACTAAATACACAAAAGCTTGTGTAACTTGAGAAATTCCTCAAAATACATTTCAATTTCTTCCACATCTCTCCTCTCTTCGACTTTTAGTTACAGTAGAAAACAAATAATTTTGAGAAAATGGAGAAAAGTATAATTGCAGGATAAAATAAATTATTTTAATTGTTTCTTATAAAATTCTATTCATGGGTTTGTGATTTTTTTGCATTTTACATTTTATCGAATTTTATGAAGTACTAGTACTTTTATTTATTTTGTTATCTATATATAATATAAAAAGAGGATATATGCCCTCAATGGTTGACATGTGGCAAATGATGATGTCATTTATCAAAATTGCTTAGTTGGAGTTCAATTGATGAGGTGGATTCCTCAATTGGTGAGTTGTCATTTTTAATTTTGTATGTATTTAAGTTATTTCCTATTTAACATTTGTACAATCATTTAAAC